TTGTGTAAAAATATTAACATGAAAATTCATAAGGTAAATTGATTTATTGAGATAGGACATAAAATTTTAACACATTAGAAACAAAACCTGAATTTGGTAGTTTTGTAAGAGTGGATGATCAAATGCATGATGTTGTTAATGATAAAACATATTGATATTAGTATAATTTAAGTCACACCAATATAAAAGAATTTTTTTTTTAAATGTAATTTTCGTAAACTTTACATTTTTTCGATATATTAGAAGTTAGAACCAATGAACAAACATTTGACTTTCTAAAACCGTAAATCTAAACAAAAAGACATATATAACATGAATTAAGTCATATAAATGAGCAAATGTAATGGTGAGCGAAAGAAGAAATATGTTTTCTATAATAACAAATTCAATAATAATTTATTTCTTTCTATAGTTTTGTAGATATGTTATAGTTACTGTTAAATTTTGAAGAGAAAATGTACAATCAAGAAAACAAGTTTCGTTACCATTGGCCGCAATGTTTTCTTATATAGTTTTATGTTCACTTAATCAGGACAATCAAAATGTTCTATGAACAAACTCAGTAGTGTCATCACATATCTGTAAGACTTTCATTGCATGATACTCTCTATAACCAAATCAAATGAACTCAAAAGTAAACTATAACTTGGAACATGTTTTCGCAAACATTTCCAAGGTTCCTAATCTTAATTAAATCAATCAAGTAATCTGATTTTGAATCTTCTCAACTTAAGACGAACAAATATTCACAAACGAGATTAAGAATCTAAATTTTTCAAGTTGATATGGTCTTTCATATACATGTATTAAAGGTAAAAAGAATGTCAATTTCATTGCTAGATTATGTACATCATCAACTTTCATTTCCAAATTCATCTTTACGACAAAGCGAGCATCAAGCGCAAACCTGAAACAATAAAGCTTAAGAATTAGTTGACTTGATGGTAAGTTATATACTCATAGACACTTCACTCATCATCAGTTATGTAAAGATGTGACTAGATTTTGATTAAACATATATAATTGAAAAACCAAAATGCTAAGTTCAAGTTAACAGAGAGAACACAAGGTATCAAAGTCTCGTAGATCATCCGAAAGAGAGTAACCAGCAGAAAGAATGTACTTACGCGGTTGAGAATACATGGTGCTGGTTTTAGCCCCATGCCATTGAGAAAGCATAGTTAACCACAAGTTTACCGTCAAATCCAAAGTTCTACAAATACCAAACCAGCACCATGTAAACAACAAGAAGATATTTCAAAAGTCTAAACTAGAAACAGAGATTCTCGATACACAACCCGATACGCAAACCAAAAAAAACCACTTACATTGTACAGATCGTTTACTGATTCATCAGGGTTTGGCGAGAAAGCGCTATTCACATAGACAAACTAACAAACAAAGAGCAAATGTCAAGACTGATCATCGCATTCTTCTCACAAATCTGTAACCTATAAACGATCCATACACATCGATAAGAACAAGAACAAGAACAAGCTCTGTTTTGCTTTACCAATGAGTCAGAATGAAGCTGTCTTCTTAAAAAGTCAATCACTTTAGCAAATTTATCAGTCCCTGGAATCTGTTTACACGCAATACCGCACAACAACATTAAAAAATCACAAGAATTCAACAATATCTCAAAGAAAAGAAGTGAACTTTATTGATACATCAATACTCAAAATTCATCAAGATTGGTTTAAAAATCTTTAATTTCGAAAAGAAAGTACCTTGAATTTAGATTGTTTGAGTATAGGAGCACCTCCAGTAGCTCTTAGATGAACAACAACTGTACATATAAACATAAACCCTAGAAATTATCAAAACGAGAAACCACCAAAAATCTTCAACAAAATACGAAATTGAATTGATATGTATCGATAGATTCATTGGTTTAATCGAACCATTTGTTGAATTTCAACGATTAATCAAAAGACTCACCTTTCCGAACAGAGCTTGGTGACTCCATCGCCATTGATGGTTTTCGTGAGCAACAAAATAACTGAAGAAGACGATACTTTTTTTTTGGGGGTTTATTTAAGAAAAAAAAAATTGAGGTTACATTTTGGGCTTTAAAGCCCATTTAACTGGGCTTTGGATGAATTATTATCAGCCCTTTGAATAAAATGGATATAATAATGTGTAAAGAACAAAGTAAAAATAAAGATATATTAATTGAAAATACACTAGAAAAAAAATCTTATGTATCGTGCTGCAAATTCTCTACATATTTTTATTAATTTTTAAAATAAAATCTTTAATACATGTTTTAAAATTTTAAACCCAACTAAATATAATATTTTAGACTTAATTACCATAACATATTTTCTGAAATATTAACAAGCTTT